TTATATCCATTTCTTTTCAGCTTGTAACTGCAACGGGTATGCCGATAAGTGTTTCTTTGATGCACATCTCTTTAACACAACTGGTCATGGCGGCCACTGTTTGGATTGTCGTGAAAATCGCGATGGTCCTAACTGTGAACGTTGTAAAGAGAACTTTTACATGCGGGAAGATGGTTATTGTACCAATTGTAATTGCGACCCTACTGGATCACGCTCACTACAGTGCAACAGCCAAGGCAAATGTCAATGTAAACCAGGTGTAACCGGAGATAAGTGCGATCGATGTGCAAGTAATTTTTATCAGTTCGGTTTGCATGGTTGTCAACCTTGTGGATGCGACCCTCGTGGTTCATTTGAAAATATGCCAACTTGTGATCCTGAAAGTGGCATTTGTTATTGCAAGGAAAATGTTGAAGGAAAACGTTGTAATGAGTAAGTATAAAGTAAAAATCAAAGAAGTATATTAGTTGCACAACTTCTTGATTGTAGATGTAAGCCTGGTTTTTTCAACTTGGACATTATAAATCGTTTTGGTTGCACTCCTTGCTTCTGTTATGGACATACGTCAGAATGTCAAACTGCACCCGGATATTCGGTAGTGTCGATCACTTCCAATTTTAACAAACACAAAGAGCGTTGGACTGCGATTGACTTATACAACCGTGATGTTGATATTAAGTACAACCAGTATAGTCGAAGCATTGGCACTACAGCACAAGGAAATGAATATGTATACTTTCAGGCACCAGAACGATTTTTAGGTGACCAACGTGCCTCATATAATCGTGATATAAAGTTTAAGTTGCAATTAGTGGGACAAGTTGGACCTAGCACGAGTGCAAGTGATGTTATACTTGAAGGTGCAAATACAAAAATTTCTTTGCCTATATTTGCCCAAAACAATGGCATGCCAGATCAAGGAGTTAAAGAATATTCGTTCCGTTTGCACGAACATCGTGACTATCAGTGGCAACCCAGTCAGTCGGCAAGAGGATTTTTATCCATACTGTCGAATTTAACTGCTATTAAGATTCGTGCCACATATTCCGTGCAAGGTGAAGCTATTTTAGATGATGTCGAAATGCAGACTGCACATCGTGGTGCTGCTGGACAGCCAGCTACTTGGATTGAACAATGTACTTGTCCGGAAGGATATTTGGGTCAGTTTTGTGAATCATGTGCTCCAGGCTACCGTCACAGTCCAGCACTTGGTGGCCCGTTTATGCCTTGTATACCTTGTGATTGTAACGGTCATGCTGAAATATGCGACTCTGAGACTGGTCATTGCATATGTCAACACAACACATCTGGAGATAATTGTGATGTTTGTGCTAAAGGATACTATGGAAATGCCCTAGGAGGTACAGCGTATGACTGCAAACGTTGTCCTTGTCCCAACGATGGCGCCTGTATGCAAATTAATGGTGATACGGTGATCTGTACTGAATGTCCTGTTGGATACTTTGGTGCTCGATGTGAGCAATGTTCTGATGGTTTCTTTGGAGATCCTACTGGTTTATATGGGGAGGTACAAACTTGTAAAGCTTGTGATTGCAATGGTAATGTGGATCCAAATGCTGTGGGTAACTGTAATCGTACTACAGGTGAATGCCTAAAGTGTATACATAATACCGCTGGACATTACTGTGATGAATGTTTACCTGGCCATTTTGGGGATCCACTCGCTTTACCACATGGTCAATGTGATAGATGTACATGTTATCCACCTGGTACAGAACAAAATGAGGAAGGTATTTCCAAGTGTGATCAAGTAACTGGCCAATGCCAATGCAAACCGAATGTAATTGGTCGAGATTGTGGTGAATGTCAACCTGGCTTTTTCAATATTATGTCTGGAAATGGCTGCGAAAACTGCATGTGTGATCCTGTTGGTAGTTACAATTCCACATGTGATAAATTTACAGGTCAATGTTTCTGCAAGCCTGGTGTGATTGGACAGCAATGTGATCAATGTGAAGTTTACCATTATGGATTTTCCTCAGAAGGTTGCAAATCATGCGAATGTGATGAGAGTGGTTCTAAAGGCTTCCAGTGTGATCAATATGGTCAATGTCCATGTAATGATAATGTAGAAGGTCGCCGTTGTGACCGCTGCAAGGAAAACAAATATGATCGCCATCTTGGGTGTATTGACTGTCCAGAGTGCTATAACTTAGTTCAAGACGCAGCTAATGAGCATCGTGTAAAATTACAAAATCTAAGTGATACTTTAAACGATATTGCTCGGACACCCGTTACCAACGATGATGAATTTGAAGCCAAATTAAAAACTGTGCAGGAGAAAGTGGACATATTACTTACTGATGCAAAGTATGGTGCGGGTGAAGGAGGTAAAACTTATGTTGAAGTATTAGATGACTTACATAAACGTTTGGATGGCATACGCACACATTTAAACAATGCTGATGAGTTGCAAGATGCAGCCAATGATGAAATTGAAAAGGCACGTCACAACTATACGAACGCACACGACATTATTGAATCGGCTAAAAACGAACTGCAAACGGCTTTAAATCTGCTGAACGATGAGGGTGCAGTTGCATTGGCTAAAGCGAAAAATAAGTCCGAGGAATTTGGTGTACAATCGGATCAAATATCAGTTATTTCCCGGGAGGCACGTGGAATGGCAGATCGCTTGGAATGGGAAGCAAAGGTAGATCAAGACAATGCCAAATCTGCAAATGAAGCTGTCGAAAAAGCTTACGAACTGGCTAAAAATGCTATTAACTTACAGCAAAAAGTCAGGTAAGTAAACAACACATATACATACATATATATGGTATTTATAAGTACTTGAACATTCAAGTATAATGCATATGAAAACATATTTTACAGTGACGAATTACGTTCTGATGTACGCCTGGAATTAAACACAGTTAAGCAATCATTAAATGCTGCTAATCAAACTACAAAAGAAGCCTCACGAAAAGCAAATGAAGTCTATGATGCTGCATTAACTCTACTAACAGACGTTAACGGACTAACAGCTCCGGAAATAAACATCAAAAAGTTAAAGAAAGATGCGATGGCAGCAAATGAACAAGTAAGCACAAATTATAAGTTAAAGAATGCAGTGAATTATAAAAGTATTTGATTTCAGGCCGATCGTTTGCTGAAGCGCGTTGATGATATATCAAATAGTAACGGAAAAATTTTCGCTGATTTTGATGACGAATACGAATTAGCAGGTCTCATTTTAGAGAGGTTTGCTTGTTGTTTTCTTTTCTAATAAAAATATTATTACTTTAATTTTTTAATATGATTAAAGAGCCAATAAACAGAAAGAAGACGATGTAGAATTGCTGAAACGTGCTCAAGACGCTTTTGACAAAGCCAATCATGCTGTGGAACAGGGAGATAATACTTTAAAAGAAGCCAACAATACCTACCATACATTAGCTGGTAGTTTTATATATAAATAAGACTAAAAATTTGATGTTAAAAATATTGTTAATATTTAGGCTTCCAATCCGACGTACAGAAATCATCTGAGAAAGCAGAACTAGCACTGAAGACTGTGCCCAGTATCGAAACGGAAATCGAAAACGCTGAAAATTTGATACGAAAAGCTGGAGAAGTAAAATATGAATCTATAAAGTATTCGAAAACATTTTAATAACAGATTAATCTTTTAAAAGGCATTAACTGGCGCCAACCAGAACGCAAATGAAGCAAAGAAAAATGCTCAAGAAGCTCAGGATAAATATGCAGAACAAGCTTCAAAGGTAATATAATAGATAATAAGAAAAGTAATAACATATTTGTACTCGTATTCAATTAGTGTAGGCTATTAAAAAAAATTAATGAAATATATTTTTAAATTTATAGGATGCTGAAATTATTAGAAAGAAAGCTAATGACACTAAAGTGAGTGCTAGAAAGCTACGTGATGAAGCTGATCAACTCAACCACCGCGTCAAGGTGACTGAACTCGATATAAGTAAATTAGAAGACTCCTCCAGCAAAGACGATAATTTAGTGGATGATGCAAAACGCAAGGTACACTGTCATTAATTAAATTGATAACCATTATATAAATCCATTATTACATATTTCCTTAGGTTGGGCAAGCTAAAGCAGATACTCAAGATGCTAAAAAACATATAGATAAAGCTGTCAGCGAATTGGCAGCCATTAAAGATGAATTAGAAAATCTAAGAGACATAAACACAGATGATTTGAATGAATTAGGTGAACTGTTAATATAATTGAAAACTTAAAATATTATTTAATAATTGTTCTATACTATGAAATCAGAATCACGTCTTGACACTGTTGAAGCCGATATAAATCGTGTTAATCTCACTTCACGTATTGAAAAATATCGGGATATGCGCAATGTACAGAAAAAGTGGATTGATAAGTATGAGAAAGAACTATTAGAGTTGGAGGAAGAAGTACTCAACGTACGCCTTATATCAGAAGCACTGCCACCAGGATGTTTTAACCGCAATAGATTAGAACCTTAAGGAATTTAATGTTAATCAACGTCGAGAATGTTTGTGACAAAATAAAAAAGTTATAATAGTTTAAATCATAAACTAATTTAATTATAAGAACTAAAACTATTTAAGTCAATATAAACAAATTAAATAAAGGTTAAAATAAGCTTTAAGTAAATATTCAGTTCGTTGCGAACAATTTGCGTCATACTATTTTTTTAAGACGAATTGAATATTCAGCAATTCTCATTTGTGCATTATATATTTTCTCAGTAAATACTCGTACATGAAAACAAATGCATGAATTTAAAAATGTTTTAATGTTATAGCTAATTTCTAATATAATGTGTTGTTAAGTAATTTTAATTTAATTTGTTTTTTAATACCACTTTTATACTTCTTTATGTATAACGTTTTCATTAAGCAAAAAAAAAAATATATTGTGCCAATAAATTGTAACATTCGAATGCCGCCTTATTGATATAGTTTTAAGTACTTTTCTAATAAAATCTTAACATTTTTTTGCAATGTTCATACCAGCATATGACAACTTTAATTTTATACAAGGTCTATCCGTAGTAATTGTGTATATTACTTGAAAAGTAATATAATAATAACATTTTAAAGATAATCAATAATTTTATTTCTTACTGTTCATTGATTAATGTTAAATATAAGCATTGATTTTTTACATGTACATAATTTATTATAATATATATGGAATATACTAAATATTATGTAAAGCATCAGTTGTTAAGTTTCATTCGTTCGGTACGGTCGAGTGCTTTATACTAGGCCACGTGCAACGTTGTTGTTTCATTTGTTTAACATATATTGTGTTGAATGATATAATAATATTGATATATTTATATATATTAACTATTCACTTAATTAAAAGTTGAACTTCTGACTTGTGGTAGCAATTTGTGAGTTTGTTGAGTTTAGGCGCGGTGTTTGGAAACGTGTTCGCTTAAAAAAAAAAAAAAAAATAATAAAAAAACAAAAAAACAACTCGTCATAGTACAACATTGTAAGCTGTGCTTCGAGTTTGACTTCAATAGCTTGATTTGTGGCGGTTCGTGTCTGTGGTGTAAGCTTATGAGCTTACGTGATAGCGTGATTGCGGGATAAGCTAAACCTATCTACGGCCGCTTTCAATACGGTCTCGCATCTACCTAGTAAAATTTCAAGCCGGTAGTGCATCCACTAGTTGTATTCTCCTTACTGATTTTATTAATCTTTAAGAGGAGGCGCAACGTGTTTGTTTTAATTTCGGCTAAATGCACATTGTTCTTGTGCATTTAAAGATCCTGCTTGTGAATTGTTTGGTGTGTTGTTATCTTCTTCCTGTCGATTTTGGAAAAAATCGTATTTGGAGGAAGCATTCCAATAACCTTTGGAGTTGTGCTGATTTAATTTACACATCAACTCCCATTCTTGGTGAGTGTTGTGGCAAAAACTTCATTACTTTTTATATATTCTTCATATTATATTTACTATTGTATTACATTATACATTATTGTATTACATATATTATATATATTATATTTATTTATATATACATTTTGTATTGTTTGTATTATTCATTACATTACTCTTATTTACATTTGTAGTTATATGTGTGCTTATTTGAAATTATATTATTTGCATTTACATCTATAATTATACTTTAATTATATTCGTACTTGTATTTATTTTCATAAGTGTATCTGTACTATACTGTATTTATAGTAGCATCTATATTTGTAATTATATTTACATGAAATTATATTCAATTACATTTAATTAAAGGAAAAAAAAAAAAAATAAAAAAATTAAATTACATTCACATTCAAATTTATATTTAGTATATATTGTATTTATTTTACACTTACATTTATATATCTCACTCATTATCTATTTCACGTTCATTTTTCCTTATTCTTTCCTTTCCTTCCAAAATTATTCTCACCTTTTAAATTATATCTTAACTCCTTGAGTTTACTAATTCTCTTTCACAATTATGGAAGATGGAGATGGAGACCCGCAATCCTGTAAGGTTAGCTCTGATAATAGACCGATCTCTCCATCCCCCACTTTGAAACGACCTAGGACTGTCGTTGGCCCTCAAAACCGTAAGTAAGTCGATGAGCAACTTGCGTCTGTTTTGAAATCCGTTGCAGCCCTTTAGGCTGACAACGCCCGGCTTCGTTCTGAGAACGCCTTCCTTGCCACTAAGCTGGCTCTGCTCACGGACAACTCACCAAAGTCTTCCTCTTCTTCCATTACCGCTGCTACTGCACCCCCCTCTACCTCCACAGCTGCCGTTTGTAGCACTTCTAGTCTCCCCAAGCCAGCGCCTAAACCCAAATCTCTTTCTAGCGCAAATCCCATCAAGCCTTCTTTAGCTCCCAAGGTCCCTGTGGGACTCAATCCCTCCACTCCGTCTACTGTTCTCTTGCCTTCGGCTACTAAGTCTTCGACGCCACCAGCCATTACGGCCCGTGGTGTCAATGTCAAGGAGCTTGGCTCCGCTATTAAATTCGCTTTTCCCAATGCTGTTTATGAGTTTAAGTGCGTAAACAGCACAACCACGCGTATCCTTACTAAGAGTAAGGATACCTTTTATAACATCAGTTCTCTGCTCCGTGAGCAGAAAATTAAGAGTTTTGCCTCCATTCCCTCTGAGGACCGAATCACTCCTGTCCTCCTTAAGAACTTTCCCTCATCCTATGATGAGGATGATTTGAAGTCAGCGTTGGTGACGGACTTACCTGAGTTCTCCTTTTCGAAGGTCTCCAAGTTTACGCCCCCCGCGCGCTTTACAAAGCGTAATCCCTCCCGATATGCCAATACCTGCATTTGGGAACTTCATCCTGTCCCTTCCACGGACATTAAATCCCTCTTAAGTGTTAAGCGGCTTCCATCGCTTAACATTATTATATCACTGGAGCAGAAATCTCGCAATGAGATCCCTCAATGCTCTAACTGCCAACGCTACTTTCACACAGCTAAGCTGTGCAACTACCCCCATCGTTGTGTGCGCTGTGGTGAGACACATACTCGTGGCGAGTGTCAACTTCCTCCTCCTGCTTTTGACCCAGTCACTCAGGAGCAACTTGCAGCCACTATTCCCAAGTGCTGTAATTGTGGTCAGACTGGTCATCCGGCCAACTACCGCTGCTCCAAATTTAAGGAGTTGCGTTCTCTTCGCGCCAGTAAGACTCGTTCGCAAAAAATCCCCCCCCTCATGTCTATCGACCTGAGGGCTCCAATAAATTTCGTGAGACCTGGAGTCTCATTTGCCTCTGCGGCAAAAGCTGCAACCCCCAAGCCTACTTCGCTGCCTAAAGCAGCTAAATCTTCCCCTATTCGTACTCCTGAGCCTGACTCCTTTCTCCCTGATATTCAGGGAATCTTCGCCTTTGCTGCAGGCATTAAACAGCAGTACAGCCTTTTGCCCCATTCTGACAAGAAAGCCTTTCTTGTCCAGAAAGTTCTCGAATTGGCATTGAGATGAATGATCTAAAGATCATTCTCATTAATGTCAATTCTATACACTCCATTCTTAGGCGTACTTTTTTAGCGGATTTTGCTGAACGCAACAACCCCCATATCATCCTTGTGACTGAAACACGGCTCAATTACAGAGACGTTGTTGATGTCAGAGGATATAATTTTATCCGGTTCGATAGGGACGGCGTCGGTGGGGGAGTCGCCATTTTGGCAAAAGACTCTCTCAAGTGTTCAAGGATTCACATCCCTTCACTTGTTTCTCTTGAGGCGGTTGGCATTACTCTTTCTCTCTCCAACCGCCCTGATCTTAACATCTTTTGCGTCTACCACACTCCCTCTATTGCTTCGTGCATTGTCCCTTGTGATCTGGGCACCCTTGCCTCCTTGTCCCCTAACCCTTTCCTTATCGGTGGTGACTTCAATAGTAAGCACCCCTTTTGGAATAATTCTGCCTCTTGCCCTAGTGGCACTAGGCTATTCAACTGGCTGACTAGCAGCTCAGTCAGTCCTGTTTTAAGTGTGGTAGCTCCTTCGGTTCCGACTCATATTAATAGTATCATTGATTTTTTCTTAGCGGATAATCGCCTCCTTTCCTGCCTTAGTGACCCACGAGTCATTGACGGCATATCTGACCACCAAGCAGTAAGGCTTGTGCTTCACGACTGCAGAGCTTCTCGTGCCTGCCCTCGCACTTTTTTTAACTTTCCTAGCACCAACTGGTCGGAATTCAACCTCGCTCTCGACCACCTCCTTCTTAATTTGAGCATTCCCGAATACAGGAACATGACTCCTGTGGAGATTGATTTTGCTGCCCGTACTCTTGAAAGCATTTTCACCTCCACAATTGAGGACCATGTTCCGAAGGTGCGTGTTCGCAAATTTTATCAAGTTCCTCTTGATGCTTCTACCCTTCTCCTCATTAACCTGAGGAAATCGCTTCGCCGCAGAACTTATCGCCTTAGACAGGTAGCTTCACCGCAAGCTCATGCGTTCCAAGCCATTCTTAAGAACCTGGACACCATAATTGCCCAGAGAGTCAACCAATCCAGGTTTAATTCCATTAGTGCCAGACTTCGTGCCACTCAGTGCCGGTCTGACGTCTTTAGTACGGTCAGGCAAATCTGTGGATCCAATAGGTCCATCTCAGACCTCCGCTATGGCAATTCCATGGTGTATGACGACCTTGATAAAGCCAACGTCTTTGGTGAAGTCTTTATGACTAATCACCGTCTTACGGCTGGCCTAGGCGAGCGCCACCTTACGTTAACTACGAATTCTGTAGTTCATGGGCTTTTTGATGCTTTCAATGAAAGCATTGTTACTTTCTCCCCGCAGTTTCCCGCTCACTGCATCAATGTTGAAAACACTCAAGGGTTTCTCACCCCTTTTGATCTTATTGACATGCTTCGGCTTAAAGCCCCTAAAAAGTCATCTGGCACTGACTGTGTGTCTTTCTACGCCATGAGGCGTTTCTCACCACTCTTTTTTAAAAAGTGCGCCATGCTCTTCAACCATGCGTACAACACTGGTTCCTTCCCCCAGCCATGGAGGAAGGCCATAGTTTGTCCCGTTGCCAAAATTGGCAAACCCAAAGCTGACCCCTTCAGCTATCGTCCTATTTCTCTTCTCAACTCTGTCAGTAAGCTCTATGAAACCTTCATAGCCAGCAAGCTGAAATCCTTCTCTTCTGGGAATAATATTATTCCCCCTTTTCAGTTCGGCTTTAGGAGCCAAATCTCCACCATCCATGCCCTGCATCATCTCCAAAATGAGATATGCGTAGGCTTTTTTAATAAGCAGCCCACTGTGGCACTAAGTCTTGACATTGAAAAAGCCTTTGATACTGTCTGGTTTGAAGGCTTAATCCTTAAGCTTCACCAGTTCGGCTTCTCTCCTACGCTCTGCAGTGTTGTCCACAAATTTCTTTCTAACAGAACCTTTCAGGTTCGAGTCGGTTCCTCTCTGTCACGTGATTTCCCCATCGATGCTGGCGTCCCTCAGGGCTCGGTTCTTGGACCCCTCCTTTTCAACCTGTTTATAGCAGATATTCCACTCCCGCGGACCCCTATTAAGTAAATCTGCTTCGCAGACGACTGCCTTGTCTTCATGCGCTCGTCTAATCCTTTCCGCGTCTCCAATGAGCTTAATGCCCACCTTAAATCTCTTTTTGACTACTATACCAGGTGGAAGATTAAACTCAATCCTTCCAAGATCTCTGCCATTGCCTTTACTGGCCAG